AATAAGAGACCAATTCTCAAAACAACAACTCTTTCATTAGGCTCTTTTTAGCACGAACATGATTTTAGACTTGTTTTTAATGTTCCATGGTAATAGTCCATAGGCATTTAATCTATTACAGTATCCCTCCTGGGCATCAGTCATGGAAGAGAGGGAGGGAGGAATGAAGGTTGGTTCATCTACACATACACCTGATGTGGTTCCCAAGAGGCCAGGCAGTTGGGCAGGATCACATGTTTCTATCTCCCCTCCCTCTGCCCCCACCAAGCAATAGGGAAATTTCTTGAGATGGGAATTATGTTGTTTCTCCTTCTAGGCAGAGAGAGCTGGTAACAAGCATCTGGTAACAAGCATCTGTGCCCTTTGTACTCTCACATTCATTAGGCTATATGACAGTCCTGGAAAAATAACTCCCTGGAAAAATGGTTTAGTCAGTGCAGGTAGCATGGTCTATAATTAAAGTTGCCTTTTAATTTTAAGGTTCTGTTTTCAATTGCTTATAACTTTGGTGTTTGAGTTGAAACCATCTGTTCTCTATCTCTAAAGTGGAAAGAACCCCCCCCGCCATGCTGACAGGGGTCTAGTGAAGATAAATTCATTACCATTTGTGAAGCACTTAGATACTACTGTGGGTTGAGAATAATGAAGTATGGAATTAAGTGACCACTGCAGAAGGCAGGGTAGATTTGGACTAACTGAAGTGTGCACATAGGTCAGAGACTGCATGTGGAGTACTACAGGGTAACTGTAAGGCTTAGTTACTGACCAGATCTCTAAGTTCTTTATTTCTCTCACTGCTGATTGCCTGAGAGCTCTAGGTCTTCTCAATTTGACTTCCCTTTAATCTACATACAAGTAAGGTTTAGTCTACTGTATAAAGTTCTGCTGACATAACTTTGAACATACTCATACTTAAGGTCTTTTCAAAGCAGCAGAATCACCTTTTCTGTCAATGGAACTGCCTCCCATCTGTTGAGTAGGAAAAGTATTTTGCTGTTACCCAGCCAGGTGGAAGTGTGTGTAGACTTTCCGATACCTTCAGCTAGCTGTGGTGGTCCATTTAGCAGCAGATGCCTTCCCAGAATTGACTTTGCACTCTGGCAGTACAGCTGTATTGAGCCAGCAGAAATGTGTGTATGCAAGTGCTCTTGTTGCTTGCTGGTGACAACTGCCATCTATGACCACAACTTCTGGCAGTAGAAACACAAATATAGACAGTTTATAAGAGAGCAGATAGGTGGTAGGACCCACAATTGTTTCCCTCTTCCTTCAAAATCTGTCTTTTGTGGGCTGAACCAAATCTGTATGAGGCTGTGAGGGACGGGGTGTTCAAAGACCTTGTCTTTGTCCCCAAGATCAAATGAAGGCCCAGAAGAAAGTGTAATGGGGCTGCTGGCAGCTCTCAGGCAGAAAGTAATAGCTCAGCATTCAGGGCTAGATTGACATACCTGCCAACAAAACTCACTACATTGGACTGACTCTTCAGTTAACTGAGATAAAACTTGGGACTGGTCAAACCACAGCAAATCAGGAAAGTTGGCATCTACGATTGTGACAACTATTATTCTTTGCCATAAGAAAGCTCTTCCGGGTCACGTAGCTGTGGAGCACTGGTAAACCACCTTGTTGGAATGTGCAGGCACTGGGAGTGGCCTGGGGACCGAGTAGGATTTGGAACAGCCATAAATAACTGGTTGTGTTTCTGTCTGTCACAAACTAATGTGGCCTTGGGCAACCTATTTAAGAATGCTTTGCCTTAGTTTTTCATTTATAAAGTGGGGTTTTTCATTGCTGTGTTTTTAGGATCAGTAGCAGCTTGTACATCACTTTTAACATATACAACACAAATGCCGTAAGATACAGGCACATATTTGGCACCAACTGCAAAAAGAACACATGGTTTTTTGTCTGTTTTACTTGCATGTGGTCAGCTCAAAAACTTCCATACTTGTAAGAGCCGAGACTTCCTTTGCAGCCAGTCTCCAATTCGCCTTATGCTAGTTTCCTGATCATCATTGGCAGCCATCAGTCACGGGAGACCATGGGGATTGAACTCGTGGTAGGCTACCAGGTACCACCACAGCTTCTTAAGTGGCTGAGGAATCTGATGCGTGATAGGCAGACTCTCTGGCAAGTTGCACATACAAACTCGGTTGAGGTTGCACTAGCATGCCAGTTACGATCTTGTCTTCCATCTCTGATACCTCTTTTCGAGCTCATCATTGACCTTCTCCATCTCAAGGTGACGTAGGCCCTGCTCCAGGACAGCTTTCCACTCGGAGTGGTCCAAAGTGACTGATTCCCAGTATTGGCCATCGACACGCAACTCACTAAGGTTTTTCTTGCAGACATCAGCAAAACAGAGCTTGGGCTGTCCAAGCTGATGTTTGCAAATGGCCAGCTCACCCAGAGCATGTGCTTGTATGTCTCCTGATAGACAGAGGAAAAGCCTGTTCTTCTCTCAAGAAGCAATGGAATTGAAGCGAACAATTGCAAGCAAATGAAAATACTGCTTGTTGGGATCAGCCTTAAGCTTTTAAAGGAAGAGACCTTTCCTTCAATGGCTCTGAGGAGAGCTGGACAGCCAGGTGAGGGAATTGAATGGCTGGCTGAGTGCACAGGAGGCTGTTTGCTGCCTTTATCCCACGTGGGGCTGCACAGAAGCCACAACGACGACAGTGACAGGGGTCCAGGTGCTCTGGGAAGCCAGGCGGCTCGGGTTATGCATGCGGGACCAGGCGCTGGGCCCTGAGGAGATGAGGGAGGGGCTCAGGCAGAGGCTTGCAGGGGGAACCTGCACAGGGTCAGTAAGGAAGAGCTGCCAGGGGGCGTGGCCTGGAGGGGGGGAGCTTGTGCAGGCGAGGCTCTGTAGCGGGGGTTTACGAGGAAGGGCCCTCGAGAGCGTGGCCGAGGGGGCGGGGCTTATGGACTCGAGGCTCTATAGGAGGTGGGGGCCTGTGAGGAAGGGGTCTCGGGGCGTGGCCTATGCAGGCAAGGCTCTGGTGGGGTCTGTAAGGGAGGTCTTTCGAGATCCTGGCCTGCAGGGGGCGGGGCTTATGGACTCGAGGCTCTCTAGAGGGGATTTCTGAGGAAGGGCGCTGGGGGCGTGGCCCGGAGGGGGCAGGGCTCCGTGGGAGGCCAGGGGGAGGGAGCGGTTGGTTCACTTTCCTCTACGTTCGCACAGACAATGGGGTAAATAGCACCTCAGCACGGGAAGTGAACCCCTCCAAATGCTTCACACATTCCTCCGCGCCGGAAGTAGAAAGGACCGCCCTGCCCCCTCACAGAGGTTGCTCTGAGGCAGGGACAGAGAGGTGGCGAGGTGGGGCCGCCGAGCTGGGCTTTGCCTGAGCCTCTGGCGCATGGGGCGGCGGGGAAGGGCGAGCCTGCGTGGGGTGTTGTGGACAGGAACTTTTTTTTCCTCCGGGCGGAGGCACACTTCGAATCTACTTCCGACGGCACTCCGCAACTGCCTACGCGTCACTTCCGGAGAAGCCAGAGAGGAAAAAAAATAAAATAAAAAATAATAAGTCCCGAAGGGGAAACAAAAACAAACGGGAGGAGCCGCCGCCGGCTCCCCTTGGCC